GCGCGCTGCTGCACGCGCAGCGGGAGGGCGCTGGGTCCCAAGGCAGCGCGGGTAGGGCGGCGGCGTCAGCTCCAACCGTCCTCAGCGGAAAGCAGCCTTTTCTGCAGCTGCGTTTCTGAAAATTAGTTAGACGCCCAGACTCATTAGCGTCCTAGAGAGCAAACGGCCAGCCACAGCCTGCTTTGCTTTTCACTAGGTGGAAAGGGTGTAATGCTTCCAGAATTAATTTTTTTTTTAATAGCCTTGAGGACTGGGTCTGAAAACCCCACTGCAGGAGTATTGTTTCATTACACAGAAACAGTGTCTTGATCTTTCTGTGTTGCCCTGTCCTGCTTTGTGTTCCGAGTTAAGGGTGGTAGCAAAAACACTGATGTGCTACAGTGAGGTGTGTTCATGTCACATCAGTAAACCCTCTGCAAGGAAAAAAAGGTTTTAGAAACAATACCCAGGTTAGAGAATAACCAAAGAGTTAGAGAATACATATTGCTTCTTTTTTTTCCTCTAAGAAAAGTCGCTAGGGTCTAATTTACAGGAGAACAGACAAAAGGTGAAACAAAACAGTGGGCTTTACCATTCAAATCATGATGGGCATCTACACAAAGAGATCTCACCTCACACCTACTTTTATAGAAAGAGGATGAAGTTGTGCTTTAGCACATGCTTTACACAGCTGGATGAAAGGTTTAAAACCTCATGAAAATATGATGCCTCCCTCTAGTGGGTTCTTTTTGTGACCATGTTTTATATGGAGAAATTACTTTATAATGCTTAAATGCTTTGCTTTTGAACAGCTTTATATATACTTAGCCTGAGTTTAACAACTCAAATCCATGCAGCCAGATTGTCAAGCACTATGGAGCTGTTAGTGTGCCATGTCAGTGAGATCAAGCTTTTGACCCTGCCCATGAGCGTGTGCAGCAAACATCTGCATTAAGAGTTACAAGCTCAGATTCTGAAGCCACAGTAGCATTTGTCAAAGAGTTCGGGGTATGAGAACCACAGTTAACATCTTGTTTTTCCTTTCAATGCTTGTGTCTTACCTTTATTAAAGGTGTTACAGAACAATAGCCACAGCATGCCAGTCTGCTAGCAGAAGGGGGTTAACAGTGGTAGAGAATGAAAGAGGATATAAGCAACTTGTTTACAAATAGTTAAGTTGTTCCCTATTCATTTTTTTTGTTGGAACAGTGATGCTGATTTAAGAGTGAGAGAAACTGCCTCTGGAGGATACCAAAAATACATTTCTTCTGCAAATGATCCCAAGCTCATGCTTCACAAACTCTTGAAAACTGTTTGGAAAATTAAGATAACACTGTCACTCCAGGAACTTTCTTCCTTTTTGGATAACTGTCCACATAGGGCTTCCATAGCTTATGGAGAAATCAAGAGATCTTTTTCCAAATATTAGTAAACTTTCCTTTTCACAGTAGCATTGAAAAAAATCTGTATCTTGCTCAAATGCATCAAATCGTGTAATATGAACAATCTACAGCTGTAGATTTGATTCTCTGAACACATTCTAGTTTCCAGCTTACAGCAGAACCAGTCCAAAGAGACAGAAGTTAGCTTACTTGGCTTCAGAGGACCTTACACAGTCAGTGAGGCAAATGTCACTAGGTCTGCACTTTAAAGATACAGAGTGAAGAAGTTTTACTCATCCATCATACCTTTTATTTTCTAATATCAGTACGTGATCATCTTTAAGGAAGTTGAAGGGTAAGAACTGAGGAGCATACCAGCTGCACTTTACAGATTAACAGCCACAAAAATAGAAAGCAACTATACGATCTCTGGGTTTCACAAAACTAGTTTTCATTTGTAACACTTGACGCAACAAGATTAACTGCAACAAGTGAAGAAGCTACATCTGTAAAGTGCTATTTTTTGTTATAAGTGGCTAAAAAGCACAACTACAACAGATTTGGGTATTCGGTGGTTAGATTGTCGATGTCCTCCAAATCATTCATTTCAGGCTCTGTGTTTTTTGATGAAATTGATTAGCCCGTTTGTTGAGCTATCATGAGATGTCACTGGAGCATCTGACTCCAGTTCAGGCTCAATTTTCTTGGCAAGTTGTTTTCCAAGCTCAACTCTGCATTTATAAAAGCAGAAGAAGAAAGAAAAACATTAGTGTTAACAACTTACAGTACTTACTATAAGTCATTGACATTAAAAATAGGTGCCAGTAAAAAGTAAGTTGACAGTGAACACTGATGAATGTTCTTCCCTTCACAAAATTACTGACGAAGTTAATATCATTCAACTCAGTGCCATTCATAAACTGGAGTTCTCACAGCTGCTTAGCTGAACAGACAGCTCTCAAATTACAGGATGTCTAAAAAGAGTAAGTTTTGTTTTAAAAGTTAAGCAGTCTTTTCCCCTTCAGTACTAGTTTGTGTTATGCAGCCTGCCCCAATGCAGAATGCATTCAGCTTGCTACCATCCACTGTTGAACATGACATCACTCAGAACACTGATTTGTAGCACCAAGACAATAAACAACAGCTGAGCTGCAGGCCTGAAAGCCTTCCCCAACACTACAGCATGCTATCCAGGAGTTACAGCCACAGACAGGGTAAGAATCTAGGATATTCCAACAGCTGCAAGAAACTAGGCTGGTTCTACAGCATCCCCACATTCCATAGTTAGTTTTGGATGCCATTCTAGATTTTTATATGTTACAGTAAAAGCTGTACTTACTCCTATCCCAATCCTGATTTCAGAGTTTATAGCAGACATCAGCTTTTATTAGACAGTCTTCCATTTTCAGTTTCTACTACAACATTTTAGTTAAAGAACTTGCTGTGGTAGCATAGCTCTAAGAAAACATATACAAAGAAAGACCTACCCTTCAGCCTTTAAGAGAGCTTAGTGTAAATGCTATTCTAGGCCTGTAGAGCAAACTTTCTCTTCAAAATAACGCCTCGCAGCATAGGCAGGTTTTACCTGAAAAATCTTACTCATTTCCCAATCCTTTTCTCCTGCATAAGTCTTCATACAGTATGTTGTACAGTTAATATTACTACAGATTAGAAGAATCTGATTAGCTCCTGATTAAGTCTTCTATTTGAAGGTGACAAAGTGACAAACTCCTTGTGAAGCTGCTGTTCTCCACATGGAGCTCTACTACGATCCTTGGTCACAGGTGCAGCCTGCATTAGACCTAGGGCTCCTATGTATGAAGACATCTGCCAAGAATGTTCTTGTATCTCCAGTATAGGAAAAATTAAGAGGTGGTCAGTCTTTTGCTTAACAAATACCATTCAAACTGCCTACTAAGTGTTTCCAGAGGTAAAATAATTCTTTTTCCCCTTCTATAAGGGAAAAGAATTTCCCTTTCTAATTCTCAGAGCATGTGTGCAGCCTGCTTGACTATTTTATTCATTACTGCCTCTTTTCTGCATTCATAGTTTTTTTTTTTTTAAAATCAAACTAAACAAAGATCCTTAGCTAAAGTTGTATCTACAAAGTCATTATGCATGGCTAAACAAGGATACGTGGTGACCTATCCTCAGAAAACCTGTTTTCATTTAAAACTGTCCTATAATCATTTGCTTTAAGCGTAACACTTATTTTTTTCATTGTCTTTTCTCTAAGTCATGACAGATTAAGGAATACCACAGCCAGTAAGTACACATGAAACAGATCAAAGAGACTTACCCCCACTGGTCATAACTGTTAATATCCCAGACAATTCCTTGAACAAATATCTTGTGCTCATACATGGCTATAAGCAGAAAAAAAGATTTATCAATAAAGTTTATCAGAAAGTCTTAACAAGCATTCACAGATGAGAGATCTATTTACTTACCAATGATGGCTCCCAGAGTGAATGGGTTGAGTTTTGTAAACATGATGGAATTGGTTGGTCGATTTCCCTCAAAGACCTTTCAAAACAAAAGTTACATTGTTATCTACTATGCTGTAAAACTCACACCAGAAACTGGCAGTTTATATTTTCCTTATAGCTGACATTGGGTTATTTGTATTAGCAGCAAATACAAAATCCTGAAGGCTTTAAAGGCTAACAACTTCAACCATAAAATTGTATCATTTTCATGTTTTATTACAAACACAATGGCAAAGTGTTATCTCCAAGCACCATTACTAGCTACTATGGGCTACAGTAAGAAGTAAAGCACAAGTCAATATCCCAGGGGCAGTGATGAGATAGCTCATCTTCTCTGAAATGCCTCAAAAGGCTTCCAGATCAGCATGCTTTAGCAGGAGTGCCATTCACAGGCTGCTCCACTAGACCTGACAAGCCTGACAAGGTAGAACCTGTTAACACAACCTTCACAGCTGTCAGGACAGTAGCACTTGACAGCCACCGGAGGTCACTGCCCCATTAGCAAACTCCATCAAGCAGACCAAAACAGCTGTCAAGTGCCAAAGCCTGGTTACCTTATGGGGAAGAAGCTTCTCCAGAGCATCTCCACTCAGTCCTGCTGCTTGTAGTTCCTTACGCGCTTCATCAGCAGTCTTTCCTTTCATCAAGGCCTCAGTCTGAGCAAGGAAGTTGGCCAAAAGGATCTAGCAAGTAAAAATAAAATCAACTCGAGCTACTGTTTCCTTAGCTAGAATAGTGCTTGAATCTTGACCAAGACCTAGTCTAGAGTTACAGCTCTTGTTTTTAACACTATGGCAATAAAATGTGCAGTAGTTTTAACTGTACCATGCTTACTATTGCTTTTTACCTCAGAGTGCCAGGAAACTTGATTACTATTTTAATAGGTCATATATCTAAAGACACCCAGAACTGCTTTGCAGAATCCTGCCCCCGCTGGAACTGACAGCAAGCCTCCCAGTGAGAACAACGGAGCCAGGATTTCACACACCCCTTTCACCCAGTATAGTCTATACTTTTATCCCATGCTACACTATATGCACGGAAAGCCTCAGAGTGCCAGGAAACTTGATTACTATTTTAATAGGTCATATATCTAAAGACACCCAGAACTGCTTTGCAGAATCCTGCCCCCGCTGGAACTGACAGCAAGCCTCCCAGTGAGAACAACGGAGCCAGGATTTCACACACCCCTTTCACCCAGTATAGTCTATACTTTTATCCCATGCTACACTATATGCACGGAAAGTCAGGTTGTCCTGGTTTTGGCAGGGATAGAGTTAATTTCATTCCTAGTAGCTGGTGCAGTGCTGTGTTTTGGATTTAGGGTGAGAACAATGTTGATAACACACCGATGTTTTAGTTGTTGCTAAGCAGTGCTTACACTAGTCAAGGACTTTTCAGCTTCCCTGCTCTGCCGGACTGAGAAGGCTGGAGGTGCACAAAGGGACATTCCATACCATGTGACGTCATGCTCAGTACATAAACTGTGGAAAGCTGGCAGGGGGGGCCACTGCTCGGGGACTGACTGGGCATCGGTCGGCGGGTGGTGAGCAATTGTATTGTGCATCATTTGCTTTGTACATTATCATCATTATTATTATTGTCATCATTATTTTATTTCAATTATTAAACTGTTTTTATCTCAACCCATGAGTTTCTCACTTCTACTCTTCCAATTCTCTCCCCCATCCCACTGTGGGCTGTGTGGTGCTCAGTTGCCAACTGAGGTTAAACCACGACACAGGTACAAAGATTGGTCAAAGGTAACCAACTAAGATGTACTTACTCTATATGAAGGAAAATCCTCACAGCATACCACATACCAATCCCTACCAATACAGTAGAAGTTTGTAGTTTCCTATTCCCTGCCTCATGTTAGCTTGCAAATTCACGTGTGGTTTTGTCCTACCCGTTACATTGAAGACAAACTCTTTACTACATCTACAGTCAAATTAAACCTTTTCTTCCCTTCTTTTGCAAAGTCATCTTCTAAAACTTTCACCTGTACTGGTGTTACTTGACAAAAAAATTACTATTACACAATTTAAATAGCACTTGTAATCTGAAATCATGACAAGACTGAAATTTAGTGAGGAAACATGCTTTTTCTGAAGTATGCAGTAAGTAGTAGACCTGGACGTGTTTCCACCTATGGAACTTAAATTGTTAGACATGGTTCACTGGAAATCCTTAGTTGGATTTTAGCATTAGGCTAAAAAAATTGGACTGGTTAAAAAAGATATCTATGTGTAGAAAGCTATCACCCTAGCCATGCTAGCATACTCATTAAATTTTGTCCCAGAGTTTAAGGCTTGCAACAGCATCTCCAAGGAAATTTTCATCAGCTGAGAATTTGGTTCTTCCTACTCTGCATGAATTATACTCCTTACAATTCCTACAAGGAATTTTCTCTCCAAATACTTAATTGCTCAACTCCTTCCAGCCTCAGTAGGCCAACAGGCCACACCATTGATCTGTCTCAAGAACTGCGGCTGCAATTTCTTCAAGAACAAAAATACCACTGTATTACATATAATACGTAATTATAATTTAGATATTTTCAAACCTATTGTGAATGTTCATAGAGCCTATGTGTATAGTTTCAAAGGGACATTTAGAAATCTCGCACACTGCAACACTGAACAAGCTTCAATGCCTTCAGCGACAAGAAGATACAGGTGCCCTGAGAAAACTTATTACCTTGTGATGCAAGCCATTTCTGACTGGATGCTGGGTCTGAACTGGGATCAGAAAATCACAGGGAATCATGCGAGTTCCTATAAGAAAAGCCACGTTAATAACCCTGCAACAGAAAAGTCTTAGAAAATCTTCAATTCTCACCCCATTTTCAGCATTACTGGAAGACTCTGCCACTTCAAAAACCTTTCTAAAAAAGCTTTTTGTTATTAACAGCAGTGGGAAGTGACAATACAGCTCAGTAGTTTCAGCTTCAGTTGACACTCCTTATTGTAGAGTTAAAACCTGCATCTTATAGCATTCTAAAGCCGCTAATTAAGAGCACCATAGCAATGTGATGCTAGGTTAGGTAAGAGCCCAACCTCTAAACCAATGTCAATTCTGCAGACTCTTCCAGCTTTGTAGACATTCAGAATTTAATTCCAAAACAAGGTATTGAATAGTTTCAGTTTACCTTGATGAATAAGCTGGTAAAAAGCATGCTGCCCATTGGTGCCAGGCTCTCCCCACACAATAGGGCCAGTACTGTAGTCCACACGAGAGCCTTTCTTGGTAATGTATTTGCCATTAGATTCCATATCACCCTAAAAGAAGGGAAGGGCAGCATCACCTTTCTTGCAGAACCACAGTATCAGTACAAGTTTCCATACATGCGTCAACTATGAGTGCTTCTTGTTTATGGAAATTTCATAAGTATCAGGGATATAGCTGCTTAATTTATGGACACCAAGATAATGGATGTCTGAGGAAAAAAGTCTCTAAATTAACTGAGCAAATAAGCTGGTATCAATCTTGGCACCAGTCTCTTTAGGCCCTTGATTACATGAATTTAAGTGATTGCAATTTTAACCTAGAAACATGCATTCAGGTTCTAGAACCAGGACAGAAGCATATCTATGTATTTGCCTCTTGAAACCTTTACTCTTCCTGAGCCTTACCTGCTGAAAGTAGGCAGCAAAGCGGTGCATGTATTGGTCATAGGGCAGAAGGGCATGGGTTTCACATCCATAGCAGTTTATATACCAGACCCCTAGCATGGCCAACAGAACAGGCATGTTCTTCTCCAGTGGGGCAGTGTGGAAGTGATTATCCTATGTGACACAAAGGAAAAGAATTACACTTTTGATAAAGCAATCATCATCCCTCTCAACTCTTAAATTGTTTTTATTGTTGTTTTGATCCAGGGAGAGCTTCCCAAGCACAGCCATTTTAGAAGCATTGAGAGGACATGGGAACTTCAGAAACCAACCTGCCTTCAGTTACCTTACTAACAACTCTGTTAAGAGGAACAAATCTGAAATAGGCATCCCACACTCACCATCCAGTGGGCTCCTGCAAGCAGGCTCTCAAAGTTGTCAAAACCTAACAAGGGAAAAAGTCAGTTTGTATTTACTATTACAACTGAAACTTGATTTTTCTTGTAGAGACAATCATAAAACAGTTGCGATTCTTTGTATGCAGCAAGGCTCCCAACTACTAATTGAGTTTAAAGTTGCACTTTGACTTCTGAAGTTTGCATCCCATAAGCCAGATGTATTTAGTTATGATTAAAGCCTGGACTTCAGAGCAAGTCCAGCTTCTTGAAATATACTTCAAAAACCTTTGCCTAAAGTCCCCATTCAGGCACAATGAGCAACTGGAAGGAAAACAGAGGCATTAAAGCCAGGCTCTGTATTAAAGGCTACATAGTTTTCAGCAAGTTTGAACACTTAGTCACTTAGCCACAGTGGGAGAAACATCCCCCCCAAAAAGAGGGCAAGGCTAGTAAGTACAGCAGGGATTTCTGTGTTGATCTGAGGAGAAACAACTGTAATAAGGTCTTCCCAAAGAGAAAGATTCCCCCCACTTCCCTGTTCTCTTAACAATTCACCCGATTTTTCTTTGCTCTATAATTAGGGTATTTAAATCACCATTCATTTTCACTAATGAGTAGTTTAACGAATACCATCCTCTCCTGCAAAGCCAGAAATCCTGATTCTTATATGGAAAAATGGAGATGGTGGTGAAGTGTTCAGCAATCAAAGCAGCAGCTCTACCTATGGTCAGAAGCCAGCTTTGGGAGGTGAAGGATGTAAGAGCAAGAAGTGCAGATAGACTGGCATGTCAGCAGTCAGCACCAAATCTGTCTGACAGCAGAGATGAACGGTTTATTGCAGACAAAACAGTAAGTGCTTGACTGAAGTTCATTTTGCTGATCACATAGGTTATTCTACACATGACAACTCCTAGTCATATCATTCCAAAAATGCCAAAACCAATGTTTTTCTTCTAACCTCAGTCTAAGGGAATTCCAGCTTTTATTTAGAAAAATGACATTACAGTTTCAGACTTTAAATATCTGAAAGAAGTGATGAGGGCATAAATGCAAGGCTGCTGAACAGCCTGCTCACCAAGAAACAGCAGTTCTAGATATAACTAGATATAAAGGAAGAAATTTTTTTACGCTGAGGGTGGTGAAGCACTGGCACAGGTTGCCCAGAGAGGTGGTGGATGCCCCATCCCTGGAAACATCCAAGGTCAGGTTGGACGGGGCTCTGAGCAACCTGATCTAGTTGGAGATGTCCCTGCCCACGGCAGCGGGGTTGGACTAGATGACCTTTAGAGGTCAAACTATTCTATGACTCTACGATTCTTAGAGCTCTTTGTACTCTCCACCTGCATTCAGGATCTGCAGCAGAAATGTCAATGCTATCCCATAACAATACAACAAGTAGGTTGGGATCAATTTAGGGGGTCTACGTTTGCTCCACAATCAACTGCAGATAGAAACAGCATTTCTGTATCATCAGGCCCTATAGCCTAGAAGAACAAGTACTGGGGACAAAAGGAAGTAATAGGAGAAGGAAATAGTTAAGGCTAAACAGAGCTCGTATGCAGAACTGGAGACATAGGATTTCGATGTTTAGTTGTGTATGTACTCACAGAAACTAAATACCCTACTCTTAAACAGTTTAGGAAAGTCAGTTGCAAGGTCTAATTTTCAACACTGACATGGCTTTACATAAATCAGGCACTTTTGGCTATGCAAGTACTAAAGAGATGCAATTTGACTATTTGTACCTAAGTATGGGTAATTTCCAAAACTGCATGTACAGTACTAAAATCTCAGTGTTTCCCTTACATTACAGATTGTTTTGTAGCACAAACATCCAACTACTCAGAGTAGGTTGGGTAAAATATTTGCTTCAAATCTAGTCCACAATCCACTATTGTTAATGCACTTTGTAGTTACATTCCTGAAGCAAACAGATTAATTCTTGGCATTGTTACATCATAGGAATACCTACCAATATGCAGGGCAATGGAAAGACCAATGGCAGACCACAGAGAGTAGCGGCCACCAACCCACTGAAAACAAGAGATTGGTTTAGACAGGAGATATGCAAGGCTTTTAAATTCAAACTTATTCAAACTATTAGGAAATAGCAGCATGTGTTTAGACTATTTTCAGCAAAATCAATATTCTTTCTGGTGATAATTCACTACACATTATATGGCATGGTCAAGGGAACTTGAACATTACAGTAGCCCTCTAATGAATCCTTAAGTATGCATTTTTTGAGACTTGAAAGTTATCCCACTTGTCTGATTTATAACACCTGTTGAAGCAGATCCCTTGACGATTCCATTTCACTTCCAAATACTAAATTTGCAGCTTGTATTAACTGCTTTCCTAATATCACTCTTCTATAGGTAAAGCCTGCTTCAGCAAGATTATGACACTAGCTAGGGAAAGGTAATGCTCTAGATAATTTCTGAACAGCAGCTTTAAATCTTGTTTGTCATAGTCAATTGTCACATAGTCAATGAGACATAAACCAACCTATTCCTGATTAAGTATAAGGGCCAAGACTAAGGGCAGTATACTTAAAATATGCATCTGCTATAAAATTAGGCTCCCATTTCTGATGTTTGACCTTTACAGGCCTAGATTATATACAGTAGACCCCAACAGTCAAATGTCACAGCTTATAATAACTACTTACACAGAGGAATAAACTAAGACTTGTATCTCCTGTTACCCAACAGCTGATTAGACAGCCAGGAATATAGAATGTTCCTCTTCAGACCTTTGACTGCAGGATTTTAATGGAATGGCCAAGAAAGACGACTGTTTTGTTTGCCTGACATGTTCTCAATTTGCCTTTAGTTATGAGTTTTCAGATGTTTCAGTACAGAGAATACAACTACCATAATTTAGGTGTTTTGGCAGTTTCCTGACATCTAGTTAACATTTTCTGAAGCAAGTTAGATTATTCTAACAGTTAACATCTACCACACAACATTAGACATTTACTTACATCCCAAAACTCAAACATATTCTCTGGGTCAATTCCGAAGTCTTTAACTTTAGGCTAGAATAAAAGAAAAAAGCATGTAAGAACACCATAAGTAAACCCAACATTCTTAAAAAGCTTTATGTCTAGCAAATAAAAAACACAAGTTGGGTACATATTAAATACACAATTCCCCAACTACATCCTCTACTTTAAAAATACATAGCATCCATCAGAAAAAAGTATAGTGATCTCTAGAAATGAAGCTATCACTATTCAGTAGTCTCAAATAATATCAGTGACACACACTCATTTTCTGATCAAAGTGGCAATATAGTAAAGAGTTCAACTGACATTCAGTTTACATTTTACAGAACCAGAATAGAAGCAAGGAACTTCACACCACAGTACCTGACAACCTCTCAATTATTGCAGTCTTTTTCTAAGTGCTATTGGTCTCTCTACTTCATACTTCTGCATGAAACACCACATCAGGGTACATCATATGCTACAGATTATTCACACAAACTACCTGCATCACTTCAGCACTTACTTTGAGGAGTCTAGGAGAGTAACATTTTTTCCATATAACTGCATTCACACACACTTAAACAGCTACAGGTAACACTCATTAGTAACAGGACAGTCATTTCAAGAATAAGAGATCTTGATTTCAGATTTAAAGCTCTAGCAGAAAAAGCACAAATCTATAATGAAGGTCCAATCTTGCTACAGTTCATTACTCTGGAAGTGTTCCAGTTATTTTCAGTAGAAAAAACATGCTTCCTTTCAAGAGGAAGGCTAACTTATTGGTATTGAAGTAATGGTGTCTTAAAAGATAGCCTCATCTTAAATCCAGTAAGGAAGCCTATCTTAAAGGTACATAGAAAAAAGTAATAGATTTGTTATACTTACACCATTGGTAGACAAGGCAACAAAATGCTTGGCCACAGCTGAAGGCTTAATAAAATAAACAGATTGTTAGATCTAGAATGCTAGTTATTTTGATTTCTGGTCATAAAGCTGATCTGCTACCATTTACACTTAAACAAAATACCGTTATCAACTTGAAATCATCTTATTCACATTCAATGTGGGATTTGGCAGCATGCCTGTCTGAAGATAATATTCTGATAATATTCTCATGAAGCCCTCTGGAAGCAGTCACTACTTAAGGAAATAGTGTCCTGCTCTAAGAGTATGTTACTGGTTTGGAACATCAGTAATACCACTTTGGAGCAGATGGAATTTGTTGTACATGTGCTACCCTTCCAGCTAGGGTCAAAAGATCAAGACAACTGGAATTACTGATAAATCTCAAACTCCAGATTTAGACTTTGGTCTTTCCCTAAGTGTTCTGGTGAACAACGATGAGTTGTCTGCAACAGTAGTGTAACAAGGAATTTCAAAGCCCAGCTTTCAAACTAAGTACAGCTACCCTGACTGGAACAGATTAAAGACCATCTTAACCTGAGCAGGCAGTATCTGCTTTTTTCTTTTAAAGGTTAGAAATAGGAGAGAATGAGCCAAATACAAGGATTCTATTCATAGCACAGCCATCTGCCATAGAAATGTCAGTATATCACTCCAACCATAGCTTAATTTCTAGTTTTTAAATATTTGCCAAGAATTGGAAGGTAATGCCACATAAACACCATATTCTTGGATTTCCCTGTCAGTGGTTCCACCAAATTATTAGCCAGCTCTAAGGTAAATGCTACACTTTATTACTTAACAGGCAGGATTTGGGGGAACAATGCATGACAGCCATTTATAATGAAGAACTAGTGGTTTTATCACTTTGATCAGACATAACAGCCTGTCACTAACCATGAAGCACTGAAATGTTTTATGTACAGCATTTGCTGAGCTTATGTTTGGGCAGCTATTGGCTCTGCTCCAAAGCACACAGAATGACCAGGGAGAAACTGCACAATGAAAAGCTGTTGCATTTTGTTACGTAACCTAAATATATTAGACTTACATCATTAGCAGCATGTAAGAACCACTCTTTAGCCGTTTCTGCGTTGGTGATAGTTTCTTGGGTGGTGAAAGTCTGCACATCATAAAACAAGGAAGTATGTAAAACACTGTACTTAAAATTGAAACAAGTTCAGGTTGCTAAAACATCATGTTCCAGATAATCAGAGCAGAGTGATTCTAGATGTTCATAACAGACAGCTGCTGCCAGATTTCAGCAAAAAAGCAAGCTTATCAATCCAGTAAAGATTAGTGTTGCTAGATTTACCTATCTAGTTTTAAACTAGCATATATCTGGAACTGGAATAATTATCCCCACATTTCCTACCTCCCCCTCCAAACTGTTATGCAAAACCTCAAGACTGTAATTTTCATATTTAGTGACAGACTAAAGTAGAAGTTCTACCATTCAACTAAAAAGGAACTAATTGAGCATTAAAACAGGATAACCTAGCTGGATTGTCCTCTTGTTCTTCAATTCCTACTTTTTCATGGAGGAACACTCATTTCTGCTAAGACTCTTGTCATAATTTTGTTTTGCTGATTAGAGGAAAACATTTTCCTGCTTCATGAAGTGTGCACAGAAGTTCAGTCATGCAGTTTTGCAAATATCTACAACCATTCTGATTTACTCAACCATCAAAATTTAGCTTTAAGGGTGAACACTAGATTCAACCTACTCTCATCCATCTCCAGAAATATTTCATTATGAAACACAAGCCTGTTGCAGAAAATGAAAAAATGCCATTCATCCTCTTCCAAATATATCCAATTATCTAACTACAGTCTGGCAAACAGAAATTGAAGTGTTACTCTTTCAATCTGGCGGTCTTCTAAGCCTTTGAACCGTGACCCTTGAACTCAATTATTCAAAGTGACCATTAGTATTACTTTGTGAAGTTTCCTTATTACTTCGTAAGTTGTTGCTCAGCTGCAATATTGCCAAGATAAGATAATGAGCTCCACCGTAGAGCATGGCCAGCCTTACACACATGTTCATTTGTTGCAGATTCTGTCTTCAACAGCAAAAAGGTTCTACTGTGCTTTACAAATGAAGATGACCCAAGTTACATAACTATGAAGTTTGTCTTCATCAGTTTTCTCTGCTAAGACAGAAGCATTCCTCAAAGGAAGATGGCAGTTAGCAATTATGTTTCCAGAATAAGTTATTAGCAAGCCAAGGCTTAAAAAAAGGCAGCTATTAAGTCTGTATTCAGAAATAAGTGTCATCTTATAAACTACCCAGCAGGCTATCTTTACCGACTCTTTGTAAGTAAAGAAGCTTAGATTTATAGTGCTCAAGGAACTCAACATATAAGTTATTTGGTGAAGATATTTTGTTGCTACCCTAAAACAGAATGATGATTCCCAAACCACATGCAATTCATTAATGCAAAAACCAGCATTTAACAAGTAACACTGTACTTAAGATAAAGGACCAAAAGTAACTTTAAATAAAAGTAAGGAATGAGACAACAAGATCTTGAATTTCGAAGAAAAACTACATAGGATCCTACATTTAACCCACAGAGAAGTACAGTAAAATAAACTTTTGTGAATAAAGCTTAAACTTGTGTTGACTGAGAAACACACCCTAGACAACATGAAATTGCTCATGTGTCTTACTTGTTTAGGTTAAGTCATTTTCAGCACTTGTCTTCTGGATCCCTAAGTATTTCAGTAGCAACACAAGCTTGTACTGCAAGTTTAGGATGAATCACAGCAGACCTGTTTAGAAATAGTCCACACTTGAAGTCCCTGATCTAGAGCCTCCTGTGGACAGATCTCTATTCTGACTGAATCCTTTATGGTTAGAGAGGGTCACACCCCAGTGCTTATACTAGACATACCTTTGATGCAACAATGAAGAGTGTAGTGTCTGCTTTAAGCTCAGCCAGGGTTTTGGCTATATGAGTACCATCAATGTTGGATACAAACCAAACACGAGGGCCTCCCTTGGAATATGGTTTCAGGGCTTCAGTTACCATCAGAGGGCCCTGGATAGAAGCAACAATTAGATTTTATCTTCATTACAAGCATGTACATGCACAAAAAGATGTGGAAGATGTATAGAAGTCAAGAGCTTACCAAGTCAGAGCCACCAATCCCAATATTGACCACATCAGTGATTGCCTTTCCAGTGTAGCCTTTCCATTCACCACTACGCACTCTCTGTGGCAAGAAAAATACTGCAATGACTATGTTATACTTACACTAAAGTTAGTGATTCTAACATTGGAAATAGGCTGTGTTTTCAGGCATTGTTACAGAAAGTCTCCAAAGACAACTTTCAAGCTTCTGGACTTTAAAGCCTACACTCAAAGCTACCTTCTTAGCTCCACATTTGGTTATGTCTAAGATACTTTAAGTGTCAGAAGTCTAATGCACGTATTTAAAAAACACACTGCAAGATCAAACTCCTTCTGTGTGGACTGCTACAGCATTTACAACAGTGTTGGCAAAGGCAAGAGAAATCAAGCTAAAAATTAAAACACCTTGGGCATTAAACTATTTGCGACAAATATTTGAACCTGAAGGGGTTCTTTAAATGTCTTTAATTAGAAGCAACTTCACTCACTAAAATGGAAGACATTAAAATATGAATAAAGCCATGGAGAGAGATTTACAGGCAAACCAAACATCCAAAAAGCTTTTCTATTGCATGTATGTTTTGCATTACGATTTATTTCTGGGCTTCACCTTAACAACACATAGTACAGGTTTCCACTATTCTTGCTGTTTTAACAGTTACTGAGAGTTCTGACAATTACAATCATTAAGTAGTATCAAAACACTGCATTGAATTTTGTCCATCATGTACCACCTATGCAATAAATTTGTTCCAATCACAAAAGGAATCTTTCTAGTATCATGCACACTTCTACATACATTCCCCAATTCTAAAGCAATTTTTCTACAGCAAATCACCTGGTTATGCCGATAGTTGCTCTCCTTCCCTACAGATGTTTAAGTTAAAGTTTTTTGTTCTTCCAAACAGAAAATCCATTTTTAGTATACACCATTCCTGTAACCTGTAGATGATGTTGCCATGTTTTTAAAATCCCAACTGAAACAAGCATCTTTGTTAATCTTTCCAAAGGAACTGCTTAACAAGATTTTTATTTTGCAGAGAAGATACATCTGCATGGAAAGTGATATTCACAGGCTCTGATGATTGAAACCATCTAGCAATAAAGAGGGTGGCACCAGTGAAAACTCTTGTTTTGCACTACCAAAATCTTAATCAGCTAAAAACTCTACAGTGGAAAAAAAAAGACCATTGAATTTCTGTGGCCATTCAATTCTTACTTTATCTGAAGAAAGTACCAAATTCAGACCAATTAGTGTCAGTTATTGTGGTTTTGGCTTTTATCCATTAGGAACTGGACATAATCCAGGCTCATTTTGTATAGGTTAACAAGTACGAGTTGGCAGTGATACTGGCTACTACCACCCAGATAAGACTCACAATAGCAACCAAGCAGGTCCAGTTCCTCACAACCATGTTTAAAATGCACTAAAACTATTTGGTGAGCTTTTACTGATTAGTTTTATCACACATAAATTTGACTTTGTTAGAGTGCTCTAGGAAGTTCTTCAGAAAATTTCCTCAACTGATCTGACAGATGCCTCCATTTTAAATATGTACAGAATCACAGAACAATTAATGATATTTAAATGCAGCAGTTAACCATTATCTTCAACTAGGGAACAAAAAACTTTCATGCTGCTAAAGCTGCAAGCAGAATAGAATCATAAAGGAATCTGACCTCACACCAGAAGATCTTTAAGGAACTATTTAAGTAGAGCATAATCAAATTGCAAGTGAGCTGGGAGCTTCTACCTCTCTCCTGATTTCACACCATTTTTAAGAGGCAGTTTCTACTTGATAGAGTCAAGTAGTTGAAAAATTGGCATTAAGAAATAAGGCAATATTTGAATGGTACTTAATTATTTACAAGGCTTCTGAAGTAAACGGAAGATTACTGCTAAAAGTGCAAGATCTAGAGAGCCCATTAAAGAAAAACCCAACTGTGAACAGAGAGAGAAAAGTGAATCATACTAAAACCAGCTCCAAATCCACGCTTAAGCCAGAACTATTACAAACCTCAAACAAGGGCACAATAATTCATGTGAACCAGCCTGCAAACAATGCTTTACAATACACATGTAAGAACCTGGCTGGGTATAGAACAAATATATGAAAAATAAGCTATGGTGGTACTTTATACCTGGCAGAAGTGTTTCATTTTGTCCAACACTTTGTTTACTTCTGGAACAACATCCTTCCCCTCTACAAGTATTGGCACATTGGAACGATTTCTCAGAGCAATATGAAGCACAGCTCGGTTCTGGAACAAGAAGGGAAAAAATTGATGAAGCTGTTTCCAAGCTAAACCCAGGGGCCTCAGGTGCCTCATCCAGAAAGTAGTACAATCTTCAAGACTTAAAAATCCTTTAGATTAACTGGAATTAGTAGAGCAGTAGTTTGCGTGTGTATACACACACTCATCACCAGTTATCTAAATCACCCTCATTTCACAGAATCAGTGCAGAGGGCTTACAAAAGCATATAATATGCAAAGTAAACAAACCGCTTATTTGTTTACTTTGAAAACAAAGCTCAAAATCCCTTGACAAGCATTTAATGACTGAGGTTCAGAATTCAGCAATATTCAGTACTCGGTGATCTTAATTATTTTGGCATGCTTCAGGTATACAAGGATGAAGTTGTTTCCTATTAATGACAATACTGAAAATCAATTATAACAAGCAGCCAAAGTATTTTCTCTGGCATTTTCTCAATTATCTTGAGTAGTCCATTTCATATAGGAAGAAACAAATATGTATTTTAACATTTAGCAAAAAATGAATACAATAGCCACATTATTCTATCCACTGCCCACAATTAAATGTTCCCTGAATACTTGCACACCAGGTATGTAGGTGGTAGTTATGAGAAAAAATCTGTTAGCATGCACCATATTATATTAATTCTCCACAGTTATACATTAGTTATACAAGTATACATAGTATGTACAAGTACACACATTAGTATACACAGTTATACAAGTCAAAGCATTGAAATCTGGCCTGTGATTTGCCTGTTCAGAAGCGTAACATCTTTAATCCAGAATGAAGGAGTATCATCAATACTAATGAACAAATTAAAAAATTAGTCTGCTCTACCTCATTGTTCCTCACTACAATGAGAGGCATTGTGAGACAAAGACAACACAGACAATATGAACTGCTAAGTTATGATTTAAATACCAAATGCTAGTTCAAAAATCATTGAGTTTGTGGTTACTGACTTGGAATATGAAAAAGCTCTTTCAGTTGCTAATTATCAAAGTGTACCCACTTAAATTTGGGGTGAACAGAGGCAATTTTTTTGCAACACTCAGCCATGGAATGGTACTATTTGGTAAATACTGCTCACTATCAGGCTTGAAGGAAGCTTTGTCTTGATCAAGAGAAGCAGTCATATTTGACCTGACGTCTACTGTTAAACAGAAGTATTTTCTAAATATCAAGTGGGCTATGAAGACTGTCCCTATAATGAGCAGTCAGATATGAGTTACCTTGTAATGCACTTGTGCATTGTCTTTGTGCCATATCAAGCTGCAAGTTTTAACTCATTTGGGACAAACCTGGCAATGACACACTTGGGTGCACTATAAAGAATTTCCACATAAGCACACACCATACAGGCAATGCCTGCAGCACCAAATACAGACAAGTCTTAAATACTTAAGACAAACAGCTAAAAAATGTTCTAAATCAGAACAAGAGTAGTGGACAAGTCAGTTCTTGCCGTTAAGCACCTCCCTTCTGTCTTACTGCTTTAGGTTTATTCAGTCATGTTGTTTGACGGCATCCTGTTTTTAGGGTCTCATGACAATTTCACATTGTCCACATGCTCATATTCCAGAGCCAAACCAACTTCATTTTGATATTCTATACAAACAGAAAAAATTAAACAAACCAAACCTATTTCCAAGTCAACTTCTGACTGTAAATGAGAAACAGCCTGATAATAAAGAAGACGTTTCTAAGACTTATCATGCAGGTAATTGCTACATAAAGTTGCTATATCAAGACAGTAGCAAAATAGGAAGCTAGCAACAGAAGTCAAACACATCACAGTTTAATATTGTGCTTAAGCGCTTTCTGTGAAAATTGCATCCTTTTGAGAAGACTTCAGCTGCTATGTTTGGTCTCATGTAGACAATGAAGAGGAACTCCATAACATATGGTCAGAGATGGGCTAACCCTATAATAATTTGTGTTGCATGAGGCTAGTGAGAGGCAGTATCTGAGAAAACCATCCGCCAGGTAGATTTAAGACTTACCACCCTCTTTTCCCACTTCCTTTTTTCACTAACTAGAATTACATCTGTGAATTGAAGGCATTAATACAGAAGGAAGAGGAACCATTTCTCCAGTGAAGCTTTATCTGTTTCTGCCTGTGCACTTTCACAAACATGTAGCATTCAAACAATACAATGTCCAACTGCTGAATTATTTTAAGCAAACAGCTTGTGCAACAGCTAAATCAGTCAATAACCAAGTCAAAGGAAATACTGATTGCTGTGAATTTACCTCAACATACTAAATGCCTTTAATATTTAAGGCAGACTAATAAATCACACTATACTGTTGAGTTTCCAGTTTTCATCCTATTTTTTATTTCAGAAAAAGGGTACAGTTGGTTTTCTGTATGTTTTAGTGAAGATCATAATTACAACCTTCAGATCTATAAGAGGAACATACTCATCCTCTTACTGAAATAGTCAGCTAATTTCCCAAGATTGTTTATAGTATCTACTGTTAAACATACCCAAAGATAAGTAGCATCAACAACCCAAAGCAGAAAGTCTTACACAATCCTCACTAAAACTTTGTAGGCAGTTTACTAAGCTTTATGAACACTGACATTAGGCAAAAGCATGTAAGGGATACCTGGAATGTAATACTCTGTTCCATGGCCTTTGCAAGATCTAACTCATCTTCCTCTCTACAAAAGAGGGAAGAGAAGACAAGAAAAAAAAAAACCACCAAAATCTCTAAAAAAAATTAAGATATGTGTTGAAGGGAGGATTGAATAGCTTTATTCACACACATTTTCTTCTGTATTTTTGTCAGAGGTGTAAAAATTTCTCATCTAAGTAGTGCAGCAAACATTACAACCACTCAGCATTTCAGAGTAGCAATTAGGATAAGTTTTTTCAAGACTTCTCTTACACAGATGCATGAACATCCATAATATATAGGGACAATTGAGGGGAAAGAAAGAACCATGGACAGAAATAGCCTTACCTCAGTGAAGTTGATCTTCTCTCCACTGAACATGCGCTCTCTGGCACTTTCCACCCCCCTTGACTTTGCCTGAGAAATATAAAATAGATCCCTCTTATTAATAGTAGGAAGACAACATGCACTACAAAGGTCCAGCTACATTAAAGAGTGTGAACATTTACCACATAAGACAGTGAAACAAAAATTATATTAGGTTAAAAGACCCACTAGATTCTAGCATAAAAATTGATTCTCCTACTTTAAAGCAGGTATTTTTATGCAGGCTGTTTATTTCCTTAAGAGGTTACGCAGTAACATGTGCTAAATGACCAAGATGCAATGAATCCATCTTAATTACTCAGTTTCATCTTGCCATACTGCTACAGGATTCATTAATGATTATATGTACCAGCTTAGATTTTTTTTTTTTTTTAAACTGAAGAGTAGCAAAAGTAATTTTGTTATAGCTAGTTTTGCTAGTTCTCCCCTTTTTCAAAATCTGTGTCCTATCTGGTCTAAGCCTTTGGCTGAAACAATAATTACAGAAGGGTTGTAAATATGGACACCATGCTAAATTGAAGCTAATGAGACAGACTTTCTTAAAATACATCAACTGAAATTGAATCTCAAAACTAAGACTGCATGACATTTGAAGAATTGTTTCAACTGCAGGTATAGAAGACATCACCTTCTCTTACAACTGTATATGAATTTCTTATTTTACTGCAGACCTCAATAACCATGCCATATGCCAGCTGGTCTGTTACACAGACAAAAATCTTGCACAGAAAGATCTTGTACAAATCTTGTACAAGAAACAGATCTGTGCATTGAAAAATGGCCTTGTACCATGGGGCTAAAGGACAATGCAAGACTTTGAACAGTGCCAAGATTTGTAAACAGATGCCTTTTAACTTTGATGGTCTCAAATTCAGAGCTAAATGTATATAAGCAATGCTAGAATAATCAGTTGCAGGTAGAAGTTAACTTTTTTAAAAAAATTATTTGGTTTATTAATTCAACATTTTAAAGAGTTACCAGTTCCATCAGCATTTTCATCACTTCTTCTGTAACAAGGTTCTTCGAATAATCCAGTAAGATATCCCCATGATCAGTATTCAGAGTCAAGCTGTCAAAACAAACAGGTTGTTTAATTACACATTCCTGAAGAGTGACTGTTTTAAGCAAGACAATGATAACTCCTCTACAGATTACAAAATAATTAGAATCCTAATTATACTAAGTTAAAGACAACCTGAGGGACTGATTTGCCCCACAAGTTTCATAAAATGACCTACTAGTGTGTGTTTTAATTGAAGACCATGATTTTCAACAAGCTAAATTATAGTGTCCACTTTCTGCTTGTGAAAGTCCAAATACAATGAAGTGTATTTAATGCACAGTTGGACAATCACATTCTGTTTTCACTGAGCCACTAGCATTCTCTAGCAATAATTAGCTTTTTCCTAATATATCATAGGTAAAAAGCTTACCACATTCTTTTGCTGCTAAAAAATTAAACTGTCTTCCTATAGGTCCTTTCAACAAATAGTCATTCTTTTATATGGAGACTTGAACAAGCCTGATTTAAAATTCTATACAGTTTCACGTACAGAAGCATTCTGTCAACTACTATGCAGAATTAAACCCCATTTCTGCATGATGTAGTCTCACTGTCTTTGACTCAGTGGAAGTCTCCAAATTATTTAACTAATCCTCATCTGAAAGCTATAGCCTAACACTTCAAAATACAAGCACTTTTAGGTTTACATCCGAGATGAAACACAGAAATGGTAGTCCAATAGAAATCAAGTGAGCCTGTTTGTATTTACTAGCCTTGTATCTATGTGATAAGTTCTACAGTCCCTCTAATCCTTTACAGCACTTCTCCTTTACAGCACAGTTTTTTACCCATTTCTTCTTTGCACTAATTTACAGCCAAATATACACATTTATTCTAAACTGAAGAATCGAAGCTCTGTAAGTAATTCAGTAGGCCTTCTATAAAAGCACAGGTGGCCTTTTATATCTTACTCTCACTTTTGCTCTGCATGTGCAAGCCACAGGAAATTGCATGCATCTAAATTCTCAATGTTTCCACGTTGTTCATTATCTCCCCTGCTTTTTCTTTCCCAATACCTGGACACAGAAATAAGCACTGTTATTTTAGTGACCACGTGTGTCAGAGACTTCACAGGGACAAACCATCACATAATTGCTATTGCAAACAGATATGACAGAGGCAAGATTCTGCAAAGGAATAATGGAGCTGAACTTGCAACAACAGTAATAATCAGCAAGGCCTGGACATTTGGGTGGTTTCATTAACTTGAGGGAAAACACAGTAACATGTCCTTTTTCTGGTCTTAAAATACAAGAGACACTAGATAAGGACAGGATGGTGTCTTCAAGCACAATCTTAGAAGAGCGTTTCTTTTATAGGTGAGAACACAAGGCAAGTAAGGAAAAACAGTATCAATACTGTTAATCACCCTTCTCTTCAGCAGGCTACAAACAGTAATCCCGAAACCCTGACCATCCAGTGCAAGGATACCTGGAATATGGTTAGCTAAGGGAAGGACTGCTGTCTCTCAACCTGCCAAATTTGCTATTTATTGACACAATACAGAAGAAAAATAAGAACAAGTCCTGCAAGTCTTTGAGATTTGATGCAATTCATTTACAGACAGGTCTCAGATTTGAACACATTTTCCCAATGATACAGCAAGGCCATTAGTATACTAATACTTCTTCAGTTTAAAGAAGTAGAACTCATAAAATTCTCATCTACAGTTTAATACAGATAGTCTTTCCCAGTGTTCTACTCCATGACCATGAAATCCTGACAATCTTTTCTTTATGTTTACCTGACATATGCCTTACTTATACAATTCATTGTTATTTTACTTCTATGAATTAAAAAAAAAAAATCAATCTCACTAGACCTAGATGACAAAGTATCCCATGAAATTCTGGCTGGATTCAAATCACTACTCATTTGAAGAAACTGCAGAAAGATGGCATCCCAAAACATCTCATGCAAAAAAAGCAAGCAATGGCTACCAGATCTAACTTCCCCACACACAAGGTGGAACACACAGCAGGCAATGTAATCTTATCTCAAACCCTTACACCAAGAGATCCACTTTTATTTAAACAGAAGCCCCAAACCCTGCAGCTCAGTTGCATTCTGCTACACTACCCATTCTGCAGTGCAGCAGCTGATGGCAGCACTAAGCAGGTGGAACAAGAACCTTGTCACGTAAGCCACATCCACATTTAAGTGATGCAGCCCTTAATCTGAAGGTCACCCACAGCATCTCAGAATGATTTTATCTCCCATCTAAACACAAACTAAAGCAGCTGAATGTAACCCCTAAATGTATTATTACACATGGATTCCCTGGTGGCATGTCTTCCATTTAGATTGGAGGCTCTTTCTGATCCTTCATAATGGACAAGCCTACTAGCAGGAGTGTAATACTAGCGCTTTGTATCTTGAACTAGCTATTTGCATCAAGAGTACCTTAATATATACCTGGATGCTGATTATCTGCTGAGTTTTATGATAGCTGCATCATATCAGTTTTAACCCCTTCAAAACTAGGACAGTTTTTCTAGTGAACAACCCATGTTTTTAAGACCCACTGTTCCTACCAGACCTTACATTTAGGTGGCAAAGCAAGCCAAAGGTGTACTCTACAGGTTTGACTACACTCCCCATCAGGAAAACAGGATATACAAATTCTGAGGAAGAAAAAAGGAAAAAAGGAAGACAGGATCTTCTATCTATAGTCTGTAGGACACAGTGAGTGTAAGGTTCTTATAATAACATTAATAGATATTTGTGCTCGGAGATAAAATATTCAGATTAGAAGTTATTCACACCAGTCTGAAATTTCTCCAGAACCAGCATCAGGAAGCACTTTTACACAGGTAAAAGTTTCTCTTTTCCTTCCAAAGGAAGGGAGATAGTCAGTGATTTTATGATAATACCTAGCAGAACTAACTGAAATGTATTCATAAAGATTAATTTCACATGAAGAGAGAGGTGCAAACTACAGCGAGGACCTTGTGGCCAAACCTCCAGACCACTTAGGCTTTCAACAGATGTTAACTACCATCATCCTGCTGATCTGGCTCATAAAGTGGCAATCAATGAGAAGTCTACAAGCAGATCTGTCAAACTAACCCAGGCTGTCAGTTCTGCAATTGTATTTTGCTATGAGAAAGTTCTCCTGGTAGTCTAGAATGTGTTGGTTTATCAGGAAACAGGACTGAAATCATGAAGAGAAAGGATTAAGATAGATTAACTGAATTTAAAACACTTCAACTATTTCCTGTGGGCAGCACAAAAGGACATTAAGTTGGGCAGCTATTTGAAACAGATAACCTTGGTAAAGAATATTTCACAAAAAATATGATAAACACATTCTAGGAGACACACCAACTACTTTCAGCATGCAGAAAACACATTAGAGATGAGTATGTGTGCCTGAAACAACAGCTGTCAAATATCTTCTCCTTGGTTAACTGTACACAGTGACAGCATAACACTCAAAAAAAGTCTAAGTATATTAAGCATTCACAAGAGCAATTAAATACAGACTATTTGAGATTGAGAGGGTGTATCTTATGGTTAAAGTAGCTTGGATAATATTAGAGTGACAGCCAAAGAGATTAAGATACAGTGCTATCCCCAGTAAGAGTACTCGCTTGAGCCATTCAGGAAGCAACCTTGTAAGAAACTTCTTGATTATGCCTTTCAATTTATTCAGGTAGTTTGCTTCAGCTTTCCTTTGTTCCAAGGATGTTACCAAATTCAGTCTCTTGGGATATACTGGAGATAAGGAAAACTTGCAACCAGAACTAGATCTACTAGAGATGAGCTAGTAGATTTGTGTAAGATAAAATTAATAAAGTTCTTTAACAGTATAAAAAGTTCTGTTAGAAGAGCCAGATGAAGTCAATACTCAAAAAAATTAGCATAGCTTTTCCATCAATGCGAATGACATTAACTCTTGTATGCAGGACTTCATATGTAATGTTTAATTACAATTTAAAGAAGTATCCAATGAGCTCAAAAGGAAAGAAAAGTCACTTTACCTAGGACGCTAATGAAAAGCTTGATACACACAACAAGTCTTACCTCAACACTTGAGAACAGAAGCTCACTATATAGATATTACCCATGCTCAATTTAAAACTCAAGTCAGGGATGCATCTACGTAGTTATTATACTTTTCAGATTGCTGGTGTAGTCCAACAATGTAACCGCACACATGACTCCTCATCACAGTCTCCAGTATACAGAAAACATTAGTCCCACTTTACAGGATGAGACTGCTGAACATTATCGTACTGCTTCCACATCTTACTTCCTCCTCTAGCAAAAATATGTTGCAATGCATTTTCTGTTAACATGAAGAGTATGAGGCAAGGTAGGGCTAAACCTGCTAAACACCCCCCCCCTTCCCCATCTCAGGGCAGGGGTAGGCACCGCCGTACTACTGACAGGTAGGGGCACACGGATGGATGGCTCCTCGTGATCTTATCACGGAGCTTATCATGACTAAGCACACGGGTGCGAGACTGAGAAGTGAAGGACCCACAATGCCACTGTGCGAGCCGCAGCCCGGCGCTGTGCTTCCCGGCACGTACCCTGCTGCAAGGATGAGTCAAGGACGAGCATGCACGACCGCCCTCCTCGGGGGCTGCCGAGGAGCGGCCCCCCCCGCCTGGCACCTGCCCCCCGCGGCGGGGCTCCCGCCCGCCCGGCTGCCCACGCCGCGCTCTCAGGAGGGATCTGCAGGCCCAGGGCCCAT